AAGAGACTTTGAGGCGTTTAGTTATGTACTTACTAGTCCCAGACTGTGGTCCTTATGGAGTTTAGTAGCAGGGCGTGAGGGGGCGTGATGGGGGCTGCCAGGGTAATGTCGGGGCAGGTGATAAACATGATGAGGGAAGTAAGGCTATAGAGGTGGAGAGAACAGACAAATACTCAGGAATCTGATGAATGAGGGTCAGGTGAGGGTCAGCGCCACATCAGGCATTCAATGAGAGGTCAAACACACATTACAGCCTAAAAACAGATTTATTAGGGCTGGGCTATATATGTATACATTTAATATTAATACTATTATTAGTGGCAGTGGTACAATTATTATTATTATTATTATTATTATTATTATTATTAATCATACTACTACAACTACTTCTACTACTAACAACTAATAATAACATTATTATTATTATTATTATTAAGCTATGATATAAAATATGCTAGAATATGATTCTATATATAATATTTATATATTTATACTAATTTATAAATATTGATATTAATAGCAGTAGTAAGATTATAATCATTCATTTTATTTCTGCTACTGAATAATAATAATAATTATTATTTATTAATACTACATTCATATTATTAGTAACATGACATTTTATTATTTTTTTTATTATTATTACTTTATTATTATCATTAATAATAATAATAATAATAATAATAGCACAACAACAACAATATAAAATTACTCAGTATCATGATTTATTTGAGAATATTTTTTTTTTTTAATAATGTGCCAGAGGGCCAGTTTTGTTCCTGAACCTATTTTACTATATACTTATAAGTATGTTTCAGTAACTCTATAGACACCAGTGCACTTTGCTTAACACAGTAAACAATGTCTCTGCCTGATGTCTCACCCGGTTGTAGAAGGGATGTTGGGGTCCCGTAAGCCCACTAAAGTAGCTGCTGTGGGGTTGAGCAGCCGGCAGCACTCCAGCAGGGGGGAAAGAGCCAGGGAAAGAGCAGGCCAAAGAGTACTGCCCAAATGTAGAGTGCGGCCGTACCGAAGCATCTTGTAGGGGCAGTGTGGGATAGCTGACTCCCCCAAGGTGCATCTGCTCTCGTGCATCTCGTACATCTGAAGGGAGGAGGGAACTGTGGGAGAGCAGGCCAAAGAGTGCTGCCCAAATGTGGAGTGCGGCCGTACCAAAGCATCTTGCAGGGGCAGTGTGGGATAGCTGACTCCTCCAAGGTGCATCTGCTCTCGTGCATCTCGTACATCTGAAGGGAGGAGGGAAAAACACAGAGAGAGAGAGAGAGAGAGAGAGAGAGAGAGAGAGAGAGAGAGAGAGCAGGAGAAAGTTAGATCCGAATCTTGGCCAGCACTTTAAAGGCATTCAAATCCTCCCACTCACAGTCGACTTCAGCCAAATGAAGCATTTATAGTATGTTACATGTGAGAAAAGAAAGGCCTCTGTGGTTTGATTCCCTTAGAAAAACACTGATTTTTCCCAGCAGAAGCAGCCAATCGCAAACGCACCTGGAATAAATAAACGTGGCTCCCAATGAAATCCGCATTCGCTTTAGCGTCAAAGTCTCAAGGGCTGAAACATACGTCAGAATTTGTTTGGTTGGAAATAATATTTCTGAGTCACCCAGGCAGACCAAATAAGACTGGCTGGGTGACTCAGAAAAGGAGCAGCTCATCGGGCTTCAGTGATGTTTCATTTCCTGAGGTGAACACAATGGAGACCTTACTCATCTCTCTCGGTTCACAAAGAAACCTTTATTACACAGTCCATTGTCACATTGCACCAAGCAACGTCTGCTGTCTCAAAGCACGGCGCAGCTGACCATTAACATGTGATGAGATAATATCATCTCTTATATTTGCAATGATTTAGAGAAATCCACAGCAATATATTTAGCACTGTGTGTGCATTTACTTATCTGTAATTAGGGACACAAATAGCTAAATCTAAGAAAAGCCAGGAGACATCCTCAAAATATGAAAATGAATCTTCTGTATATGAAATTAATTCATATATACACACAATATAAAAAGAATCAAGCTATACATTCCTGTAAATGTAACATTTTGTCAAATAGTGTTGACTGTCACCGGAAAAAAATCTAGTTTGTGTTTATGTAGCTGAGTTTTGGTAAGTTAGTAGGAATTCTAGCTTTATATTAAAACAATGTCCTACATTTATAGCTATACAAACGTGTTTGTGTGGGTCTGTACCTGTGATGATCTCCCTTAGTTTGGGATCCAGGTTGACGGTACAAGGCAGAAACATCTCCACATCACGAGCGGTGAGAACAGGGGTGTGCGATGAGAGAAACACCTCAAAACTACGAATATCACCATCGATTTCCAACAGAGGCTCCACATCTTTAGTGGTGGGGATGTTTTTAGAAATCCTGCAATGAGATCGTGACAATTAACACACAGAAACAGCAAATGTATACCAGTTTCAGAAAATCAACAGCTTTTGAGGCTATTTACAATATTTAAAATGTGGGGGAATAAAATGTAAATAATTGTACCATTAACTCTCTGGTGCTGTTCAGACATTTTTAATTTAATTAATTAATTTATTTATTTATTTTAAGTCATTGGAATGGTACAAAACTTGGTAAAGGTTTTCGCACTTGCTATGTGATCACAAAAAAATCACGAACATTCAGAAAGGTTAAATGATCCTGAAAAAACAATCAGACTTGTATTGTTCGCGGTCAAAAATGACTATAATGGAAATTAATAGGAAGTTCATCTAGTGGAAACGTTTGGTATTGAGCTCAAACAAAATCATTCTGAAAGCTAATTTTTTGAGATATCAACTTCAAAATTTCAACACAACTTGTTTAGTTTTATTTATGGCTTTTATTAGCAATATATAAAATTATAACTCCCTCATAAAGGCATAAGGCACCTGACAATCAGTGCCAGGTTATAAACATTGGTGGTTCATAAAAAAGGACATTTTTGACATTGATGCCGACTAATCAATTGATAGACTGATTGATGGTCAGATTGCTTTAGTGTGTATTAAATTAGTATTTAGTATAAATTATCATCAATAACATGTACATCTACTATAAACTGTGGTAAACTGGCTTACTAGTCACAAGCTCACACTCTTAGCCCAATTTTGTGAGCATATGTGGTTACCGCAGTTATTTCTGCAGCAAGATATCAGGCGATTTCAGATAAATGCCTTCCCATTGCAATTTATCTTATTGAGCGTGGGAATTCATATCAAATAAATCTGAAGATTTGTTTCTGCTGAATGCAGACATTTGCGGAACCCATATTTCTTCCTCTATCTTCTTATCTGCCCCCAGCCCACGCCTCTGTCTCTGCTATAAAGCCTGCTGAATCTTCTTATTGGTCGGCACAATAAGTCCTTTTTTCCATACTGATCAAGCCGGATTGCACCGTGAAAAGGGTGAGCTCAGTGCTTGGCCCCATCCCATATGACCGGTTTAAGTAATCCGATTTTAGCTGTTTAAACTGGGCAGGAGAGAGCTGACACAATGACACTCAGATGACCTGTTGCTAAACTGAGGCAGTGTAAACAAACACAGACATCTAATGTGAGACGATACACACCTGGAGGGAGCGTCTGAAATGCTGAGTTTATCAAATGATATGGCACAGCTATTTACACTGCATCCAAACCAGATACAACAAAGCAACCCTATATTTTGTTGGTTGTTTGGTTTCTATATCTGCATTTACAGCCCAAAACTGAGAGCTCACTGGACCAAAACTCCACTCCTCATGTATAATAAACATCAAACACGGATGATCCAGGTGAGATTGATTGTGGAAGTTGAGAAAAATTACAGTACACTTAATATAAAAATTAATTATATTAGTGTTAATATTGTTAAATCCATTACTAACTAAGGATTATTTATACACTATTATAGTATTTATTAATATTTTGAATTAGCTTTTATTTTTATATAATTAGTTTTCATTTTACATTAGGTTCTGGTAACTTTGTGCAAACGAGCTTTTGTCTATTTAGTTTTTTTATTTAAGAAATTATGTATAATATCTTTTTTATTTATATAGCTTTAACTCATTTTTATTTTAGTTTTAGCTTTATTTCAGTTAGTTGGCAATCTAATTTTCTTTACGTTTTTTATCTATTTATATTTTATTTTCAGTTATTGAAAACAATTTTTAATAGTTAGTTTTTTTAGTTAACAGTAACACTAGAAAACAGAAAACTAAATTAAATTTAAACTACTTTGTAGTAGAAAATAAATTTATGACTCCAAAATGAACTGAAATAAAATAAAAATGGCCACAGATTGTTTAACATTTCAATTAAGTACACAAAGAAAGAAAGAAAGAAAGAAAGAAAGAAAGAAAGAAAGAAAGAAAGAAAAAGAATCTGACCAGAAAAACTAAAATTAACCAGGCCATTGCACACCGAGTTCGAAATTTTCGTTCGAAATTTTCGCACATTTAAAAATAAATACGAGCTCACATTGTGTCAATCACGTTTACACACTGCCTCCGAAACTTTCGTCCGTTATAAAAAAAAATTCGGATCAGGTTCGATTTTCTGCGTTTTCACATCCATAGCAAGCATTTTGCTAGGAAAAGATAACGAAGACGAAAAAAATGAAAAAACACATGAAAATTTCAGACTCAGTGTGCAAGGACCTTGAGGGCCAGATTTACTATCAGCTTACGCCAGCGCAAACCCTCATTTGGCGTTAAAAAAAACTACTGTCAGGATTTACTAAAGACATGCAGTGGGAAATTAATGCTGAAAAGGCGTCATCAGTTACTTTTGCGACTCACCTTACTGAATATTTGTAGGAGTTTCCCTTTTGATCGGTAAATATATGGGAGGAGAGTATTTAAATGAATCACGCAATGTGATTTACTAAGATTTGCTCCCGTCAATTCACTGGTATTTACGGCATTATTTAACACCCCAAAAAAGCACGTCTTAAAGCAGGCGGTAATTTGCGCTGCTCTTGGTAGATTGCGCTGGTCATTATGGAAATGGGATGTTGCATCGGTGTTATTTAATGTGCATCTTGTCAGGAAATCACCCGCAGAATTTTCCCTCCCATTGGCACTTTTATGGAATTACGCTCTAACGCTAATCAAATCAAATTTCAAATTTCACAAGAAAAATCATAAAAATAATCATGTCCTTGTTACTTCTACATACATTATGAAAATGATGACACATGACACAAGGCTCCGCCTACAAGTAGTGACATCATCTAATATACAAAGTATATAGTTTTGCTGATGGAGACTGGTGTTATTTTGATTTTTTCTGGGGTTTACTTTATAATTATTTTTTTAATTTACCAGCAATTTCTGAGTGAAAAATTGTTTACAAAACAACAAGTAACAAACTGAATTAAATGTGTAATGTTTAAGTAGAAAGACTGAAATGGTGTTTTCTTATAAAACACTCCAATAATCTTTCAAAATCATTTTTTCAATATTATCAAGATTGCAGAATAAGATTTTGCTGTATTACACAGCATTTTTGCTGTCTGTTTGTTTCTGGTTAGGACACAGTGATACGGTCATTATGACCTGGACGGCATGTTAAAATAGCATCTTCCAAAAGGTTTAAGTTTAGCAGAGCGTTTAAGTTAATTGCTTTGGTCCCATCATCCTCGGATGGCTGTATAAATAGCGATGGTCATCAAATGACTCACAATTTCAGACATGAAGTGTTTGAGTTGGAGGGTGAGCGAGTGGCTGGGTGTGAGAGCAGATGTTGAAGTCATTGGACAAAGGCCCACACTGTGCTACAGCAGGCCTGCGTGTCAGCGGGTCAGAGTTGGATGCTGTGAACAGTCAGCCGACCTTCCGCATGATGGACATTAGGTAGAGGTCTCACACTTAGGGTGGAGCTCAAGGACGTGACCAACAGAAAGATGGCAAACACAAGCTTGCTTGTCTGCTCCACACACACACATATGCAAAAGTATCACTTTAAGATGGGCTGAACAAGAGAGACGTGTGCTGGTGAGAGAGGTTTGGTTCATTTCCCACGCACTGGATTAAGCAGAACTGGGCAGACTGTGTCTCTTCCGAAATCCAGCTGGGCTTGTTTATTTGTATGTGTGTGTGAGCATGCTCACAGACAAACAGGAGCCAGTGACAAGAGCCTCTCTAGAGAACCAGCTTCCTCTGTCACAAGACACACACACACACTTTCCACGGTCTGTGCTTTAAAGGAACCTGCTTTAGAGAAGGAAGAACATTTAAGAAGGATCCAAAAATATTAAAAGATTCTTTGTAGCCAACTATGTGACTCTGAGACATATTCAGTTAATGATCTATGAATTAGTCTCACACCGCCAGACCTTTTGACTTGCCTTTGCGTCTGGTCCATATTGCTAAGACAAGATGAGACTGCCTGAGTGACACGAAAAAGAATAAAAGCACAGAGAAATTTAGTTTAGAAATTTATTTGGAACAGATGTTTGAATTTTACAGACTTCAGTCAAAGAAGAATAATTTATTATTATTATTATTATTATTATTATTATTATAAATGTTTTACAAATCTTTTTGTTTTTATTTAATTATTATAACATTATGATTAAATAATAATTATACATTTAATTATCAATTGAATAAAAATAAATAATTAAATAATTGTAATAATAACAACAATAATGATTAATTATTTAATTTATTATTGTTACTAACATTATTATTATTATTATTAATAATAATATTCATAATAATAAATGATAATCATTAATTTTTTTAATTCTT